CCCGAAGGTGCCTTTCATTGAATAACCGGGCTACCTCTTCTCTCAACTGCCTGCAATCTTCCATTCTGTGGCCATGGGTGCCATGATACTTGCACATTTGATTATGATTTCTCTGAGCTGGATCGGTCTGCAGAGGTTGAGGCCATTTAGTATCTTTGATGCGTCCGATAGCCGATACGATGGCAGATGCATTAATGTTGAAGTTATACTCTGACAATTGCGGTGCTTCCTTAGGTCCGGTATGCCTGTCGAAACCATTCTTGTTCATCAGCCCTCAAAACCCTTGGCCTCAATCACTTCTCTTTTCAACTCATGCGGAGTTGCGTCCTGGTTCATTGCCCCTACGATCTCCATTATACGGCCGGTATCGGTCCTTGTTCGACCTCAGTTCTCGGTCGATGTCCCTTTTTATAACTGACCCAGAAGGGGGGCCCAACCGGTCATCTTCGGCTCTAATCTTTGATTGATATCGATTATGTACATCGGCCCAGGTGATAGCCGAGTACTCAATCAAGTTTTGCTTCAACTGTTGTGAAGCCATTGAGCTTCATTCGTTTAGTCCTTGGATGAAAGCTTGAACGACCTAATTGTTCGTGACCGGTGGTAGATCCATTCGTTCCATTTGGAAACGAGATACAAACTCTCTTAGCATCTCATTATCTTTTTGCCTTACCTTGAAAAGGTCCGACTTCCTGGCTCGACCTTTATGGCTCCGGCGTGTGGTTTTACAAAAGAATCTGCAAGCATGACAAAAGAATCGATAGAGTTATGTGATAAATTATGATACCATATCATTGCTCCCTCTGACAGGGTTTACCCGATTTTCTTTAATAATACAGATTCGATCTCGTCGTCCTCTAGATCGTTTCCTTTAATGGCACACGTGTAAGAGGTGACATGTTCGTTGGGGTCGGTCGTTCCATTATATTTGGGAATCTCGGGCATGCGAAACTTCTTGGGAATCGATTTCGGAGCTACGCTTGGGGGAAGAGCTTTTGTACGAACTTTTTGGAATCTAAACCCTTAAATATTGGTGGTGCCCCCAGGATCTGATCAACCCTGGAGTTATAAGTTTCTACTTTCTTGTCGTTTGCTTCAATCCTCTTTTCTCCTGATTCTATCTGTTTCGTCAGTTTCTCGAGCATCTTTATAATTTCGGGTTTAGTCCCCGATTCTTGTCCATTTGACCTTACTACAGCTGGCCTCGTTCTATGGTTGACTTCTTGGGGTGGACCGAGCTCAGGCTTGCTCGGTGCCTGGGTTTGGCTCTACAACTGAGCTATCGCTACCTGTTGAGCTTGCAACATTTCAAAAATCATACGCAGGCTGATCCCGTCCTCTCCAATATTTTGGGTATTTCGAACTGCAGATCGAGTTCCACAATGAATGCTGTTTTCGGGGCCAGAATGTTGGTTCACTTCGATAGCCATATGCGAATTAACGCCAATTGGATCCACGACCCGAGTCCCAACGGGGTCAACATGTGGCCTTTCATCCCCGGGCGTCACATTGTTATTCTCATCTTGATGGCCATATTTGTTGTCGATAGGTAGGGCCATTAACTGAGAGTTTGTCATTTTCAGCCTGAAATGAAAGACACATCCAAGAGCAAGTGTAAAATAGTGTGTGTTTTACAGAGATTTGTATCAAATAATCACTATTATCCTTAGCCCCACGGTGGGCGCCAAACTGTTTACTCAAAAAACGGATAGAGTTGAATTTATACGTAGTTCTAAGGATACGAAATATAAATTGATACAAATTGGGAAAGATATGTAAATGAATATCGAAATTAGTTATAAAAGAAATGAATGCAAACCGAATGAACTAGTTAGCCTAAGCCTTCAAGTTTTATCACCTTCAAATAGAGCGGAGAATGATTGGTAGAAGAAACAATATGACTAAATATCAAAAGCCAAAAAAAAGATAGTATTTGCTCTGTTTTCTGTATATCTCAAAATTAAATCTGCCCCTCTACAAATGATAACGACTCTTAATATTGTGGGGGAATTCCATTTTGAATATAATTAAAAATACATAGCGGGAATCTCATGATATATTAATTAATTAGCTTTTCCTTGATTCAAGCCGTGATTTCTGCCGAGATTCCTCCCTAATTGCGGCTATAACAACTTTTTTATTTCTTGGCTCGATCTTGATCTTGGTCGTTCTCGATCCTAATTGGTTTTTGGGGCTTGAGCTCGATCTTGGCCGATCTCTATTTGTTCGACCTCAATGTCTCGAGCTCGATCTTGGCCGATCTCTATTTGTTCGACCTCGATGTCTCGAGCTCGATCTTGGCCGATCTCTATTTGTTCGACCTCGATGTCTCGAGCTCGATCTTGACTGATCTCGATCTAGATTGGTTTCTGGGGCTTGAGCTCGACAACCAAACTACGCTTCATGACTCGATATTATAATGACGAACCTTGGTCCATCATGTTTCAATCTCGAAGGGCAAACCCGGTTTTGACCGCATGCACATATGATAATTATTATAGAGGTGTTTGGCTAAAAAGTTTGTTAGTTTAAGCCAATCTATTAAGCTACTAACTAAGATGATGGGATAGATTTGTACTCTGTAGGGTTTTGACAGACATTTGAACGTTTATTTCCCAAGGAGTGAGTTTTTAATTGTTTAAACAGGGATATGTCAGGGGAAAATAAATTTCCCATGAAAAGTTCTAACGCCTACCTCGAAGAAGTTAACATAGTTACAGCCTACGAGAGAAAAAGAGAAAATTGCAGTTACATATGCAGTTGTAGTAAAAGATTAAAGAATATGACCGTTGGGAACCAGCTGTATTTAATTTTTTCGACAAAGTACTACATCTGCGATTGTGTCCTTTTTTGGCCCCCACCACCCTAGGTTTCTACTATTGTTTTTAATATTTTAATTTGTTTTAGTATTGTGATTGTATTTTTCTGAGCAGAAGATTTTTTGGTAAATAGTTTCTCCACTCATAAAGTAGGAATAAGATTTTCATACACACTAATTACACAATTTTCATCAAACTCCACATGTAAAAACTAAATATATTATTATTGTTATTACATTGTTATTTTGATTTGTTAATTTTTAAAATTATTTTTTTAATTAAATAAAAACATCCCACTCGAGTAAGTATTTGCCAAGTAGTTAATACATGTGTGATTATGTCCTCTTTTGGCCCTCATCATTGACGCGGCCACATGTATTCAAGCGGTTCATCCAAAAATTATATTGTGTAACTAGGAAAAAAAATATTTTTGTATACATATACTATATATGATATTGACACCTCTTGCTTCTTCGGATCAATTAGTTTTGTGGTTCATTACAAACTTGTATTTAGTTTTATGACCTCATCTCTTTTTATACATGAGAGATTTGTTTTAACACATAAGAGATCTTTTTTTACACGTAAGAGGTCTAAAAAACACATTTTCTTAAATTCAACATTGTAAAAGGCCATGAAGGCCTAAAACCCCCTTCTTTCTCTGTGAATTTATTTCTTTATATTTTGAAATCTCTTGGTAAAAATTTTGACTTAGGCATTAATCGTAAAATCATTCACTAATATTTGTATTAGGGTAGATCTACATAAAATCTCCAAATCCTACATGAAATTTGGGATACTTAGTGCACCGGAATATGTGTCTGTTTTTGGCTACAGTCTCTGATATACTTGAGCATTTACATGTCAAAATATGGCATTGATAAAGACAAACATAACATGATAAATTTACAAGCCTGTAACGGCTACCTAGAAAGTGCTTTTGTTTGTTTCCATGCAGAAAAACTCCGGAACTATTAATACAAGAATTCGTTTTTTTCCCTTTATCTCTTCAATTTATTTGCATTGTGAAATGGAAAATTAGGGCCCGTTTGGACATAAAATTTGATGGAAGATTTTTTAAATTTTTTTTCATTTTTTTTTCTCGAAATCAACGTTTGTTCATAAAATTTTTAATTTTCACTTGAAGATGTATTTTGAAAATTTTTAAAATTGCAAAAAGTTATTTTTCAAAAGTTTACTCAAATCACTTACAAAACTTAAAAAACAATCTAAACTGAAATTTATGTCCAAATACAATTCTAAATTTCAAATACCATTTTTACTTAAAAAAAATTTTCACCATTTTTTCGAATTTTACAATTCTTATGTCCAAACGCCTACTTACTCTTCATGTCAAATTATGGTCTATTCACATTTAGTATGATAACACACGAGAAAAAAATAATCAACATTTAACATATATCCAAATCATATTAATTTACAACGATTAAGTGATCAAATAAAATGAGAACGTATATTAATTTACGTAATTAAGCTATATATATAACTTATGTACAAATATATATAATATAGGAGTATTTATTGATTTATTGTAAATATAAGTGTAAATCAATATTCTTTCCTAACAAAAATATAATATATATCTCTTATGAAAAAAAGGAAAAAATTATGTAGTGTTATTTTTTTCTTTAATTTTCGTTTATCATAGTCCGTTAGGTCACACTGAGTGTCACTTCATATTTTCCGGGAGCAAGAAATTCTCTATGTTAACAGCTACTTATAAACTTTTCTTTTCAATATTCTGAGATGATAAATGTTCAAGCTGATGAATCTATCTAACTATAAATAAGATTTAAAGCAGAGCTTAAACAAATAATAATGAAATAGTAATATGAAGTGAAGATATTAGATATGCTGGATTCTTGACCGTAGGATCTATATTCTGACAAGACATCCACGTGATTGATGCAAAAACCAGAGTCTTCTTCTTCTCTCCATCTTTCTACTAAATTATAAATTAAATACCTTTTCACTCACTCTTACCCCACTCTTCTTTGTTTCTCTCCTGAGATTCTGTTTTCCATTTCAATATTCTCTTCATTCCATACCTTTTCCACTATATCACTTTATTTCTTGCCTTCCCTTTGCTCAAAGCTAGCATCTTCTCTCTAGTTTCTTCATTTTTCTTACTCTTTTTCATTTTTCTTGAAGTGGGGTTTAATGGAAAATAACAGGGCTTTGCTTTTCTTGCTGTTTTTAGCTGTTTCTGCAGTTTTTGCTGATGAAGGTGAGCTATTATTATAGTTCAAACACTTTCTTGTTTTGGCTAGTGCTGTTCTACGTGTTATTTTGCTTGATTATGGTTTGATTACTAGTGATAAGTTGGTAATGTCTTTGTTTTAATATGGTTTTCCATTTTAATATGGGATTTTTTACCTGCTATTTTGGTGGTTTCTGTAGTATTTTCTGATGAAAATGAGCTATTATTATAGTTCAAGTTCCCTTTTTTAATAATAAATGAGGGTTGCATTTGTTAATCCCTTGAGTTTTGTAAGTTCTTGATTTGGCTAGTGCTATTCAAAGTGTTATTTTGGTTGATTATGGTTTGTTTTACTAGTGATGTAAGTTGTTTAAGTTGGTAATGTTTTTATTTTAATATAGTCTGTGGGATATGAAGTTGACTTATAATGGTAAAAAATTTGCGCTTTATTCTCCATGTGTGAAATTTAACCCTTTTTAATCTTCAAGATTTTGTTAATTCCTTTCATTAAATGAAGGCTTAGGCAGTCTTAGTTTTTTATGTTTTCTGGTTTGGTCATGCAATGGGATTTTTTTAATGTTAAATATGTAAGAGATGGAGTATGAATTAGGTTTTTTGTGAAGAAATGGTAAGAAGGAGAAGTTGAAAAGAGTAAAGTTTCCAACTTTCCTGTTCCTTTGTCTTTTCTGCCTGTAGTTTAGTTTGGCCATTAATGTGAATGACTTTACAATACTTCAGTGTTGAATGTACTCTAGTAAAATGTCTTTTCTGCCTAAACCAAAAATTCACGTACAAACTGCAGAGCCTAATGTACAACCTTTTACTATAGTGTTGCATCGTCGTGACTTAGTGGCCAATGAAGTGAGCGAAATCTATGATACACCCAGGTGGGCAGAGTTATCATGTATTTTTGCTAGTGAAAGATATCAATTAACAGGTGTTTGGTGGAATAGTGGAGCAAAAGACAGAAAAAAAATTAACTAGGGTGTCCTAGTAAGCTCAATAATAGCCCCAAGTTGATATTTTTTGCATTTTCTCAAGAAATAGAAGAGAATATAGGTATTAAGCAACCAGACAAATAGAAGAAACCATGTTTTTTGAGATTTATAATCATGCATGAGACAAAGAACAAAAGAAGAGAACAAACATCTCAGATGGAAAAAGAATCAGGAAGAATCTGATGTACAACTAATTTCATGTGCTTTTTAATACTAGGCCACGTTGGTATGCTCCCAAATTATCAGCAAACTGCTCAAATACTTGGTCCCAGCTTTCTTGTCTAATTCTTTTTTTTCTCTTGGTTATTTTGGAATCTGATGTGGACATCTGTCCTTATGGCCCTCAATAATTGATGCATATATTTTGTTCAAAATCGGAATAATAACTAGAGGGAATAGAAACTTAGTTGTGAGTACTTGAGTATCTTAGTGGTGGGTATTAACAAGAAGACTTCTAGATCATGCTTTGATGTTGTGCTTGTAATACTTTTAATTAAGTTTTCCAAAGACATTATGGACTAGGAAATAGAGGAGTGTAAATTGTGATATGGAACATTAGAGGTGAATAAATGTGAAATTTATTGATGCTAGAACACGGTTGGAGTTGTCAGCCACTGATGCAAGTAGTAGGCTGCCTATATCACACCCCTTCGGGTGCTGCCCTTCTCCGGACCTTGCGTGAATGCGGGATGCTTTGTGCACCGGACTGTCGTTTTTTATTGATGCTAGAACAGAAAGCTCTTTTTCACCAGAAAAATACAATTGTGATGTAGTGAAATTTCAAGCAAGTTCAAGAATACTGGATGTTTCAAACATATGTTGTGAATCTTAACATATTCAAAGCCATATGATTAGTGTATTCCTCATGATTGGCATGATTAAATTGATTGTTAATTAGATGTAGATATGAACCTTTATTTGATCCTTGGATGATATAGTTCAATTTTTTTCATCTTCCGTGCAGATGTCTTTATTGGTGTGAACATTGGAACAGAACTTTCGGACATGCCTCATCCAACTCAAGTAGTTGCACTTCTTAAAGCTCAGCAAATTCGACATGTCCGACTCTTCAATGCAGATCGCGGCATGCTCCTTGCACTTGCAAATTCAGGCATAAAAGTTGCTGTTTCCGTGCCCAACGAACAGCTCCTTGCTGTTGGTCAATCAAATGCTACTGCCGCTAATTGGGTTGCTCAAAATGTTGTTTCGCATTATCCAGCTACCAACATCACAACTATTTGTGTTGGTTCCGAGGTTCTATCCGCCCTGCCAAATGCTGCATCTATCCTCAACAATGCCCTTAAGTTCATCCATTCAGCGCTCGTGGCATCTAACCTGGATAGGCAAATAAAAGTTTCAACGCCTCTAGCTTCTTCCATCATCCTCGACTCGTTTCCTCCATCTCAGGCCTTCTTCAATCACACTCTGAAACCAGTATTAGTACCAATGCTGAAATTCCTGCAATCCACTGGTTCTTATTTCATGCTAAATGTGTATCCTTATTACGACTACATGCTATCCAACGGTGTTATTCCACTAGATTATGCTCTCTTCAGGCCCCTAGCTGCAAATAAAGAAGCAGTGGACTCCAACACACTTTTGCATTATACTAACGTCTTTGATGCAATGGTTGATGCTGCTTACTTTGCTATGCTTGATCTCAATTTCACTAATATTCCAGTTATGGTGACTGAATCGGGCTGGCCATCACAGGGCGACTCCGATGAACCTGATGCTACTTTAGACAATGCCAACACGTACAACAGCAATCTGATAAAGCATGTCCTAAACAAAACCGGAACTCCTAAGCATCCCGGTATTGCTGTTAGTACGTACATCTACGAGCTATACAATGAGGACAATAAGCCAGGGCATTTGTCAGAGAAGAATTGGGGATTATTTAATGCCAACGGCACACCAGTTTATATTCTACGCTTGACTGAATCAGGGTCTATGTTTGCAAATGATACTTCGAATCAGACTTATTGTGCTGCCAAAGACGGGGCAGATTCTAAAATGCTACAAGCTGCTTTGGATTGGGCTTGCGGACCTGGTAAGGTGGATTGTTCAGCGTTGTTGCAGGGGGAACCGTGTTATGAACCAGATAATGTCGCTGCACACGCTACCTATGCTTTTGATGCCTACTATCACATGATGGGTAGGGCTCCTGGGACTTGTGACTTCAACGGGGTAGCTACTATCACCACAACAAATCCAAGTAAGCATTTCGTCCGTCTAGCCAAAAGTACACTTTCCTGCAGTATTTGATATTTAGAATTTAAAAGAATGAAGACACTAATTATTCTTATGTTGTGTATATTGCAGGTCATGGTTCTTGTGTATTTTCTGGAAGGTACTTATTATTTATGAACCGATGCTTTTTTGTGCCATATAGTTAATTAAAAAATTACCTGTTTTAGCATCAAATTGGCTACTACATAGTAACTAAGTAATACTGTCAGCGGTTTACTTTCACTGAATCTCTCTTCACTTGAGTTCACAACTAAACTATTTGTTGAATGTTGGTGCAGTCTTGGCAGAAACGGCACTTTTCTAAATGGCACGGCTCCAGCTATGGATTCTACGACTTCATCAGCTTCTCCTGCTCGGTATTTAAACAACAATGCCTATTCAACAATGCTGACAATTCTGGGAATTCTTGTATGGAGCATGAATCTATTGTAGCATGATAACACTTGCGATATTGCCATTGCAGAAGGTGAAACATGCACATTTTCTTTTCAAGAAACGCGACTAAGTTATCGTCGATCCCATTACCTTTTTGGAACAGGAAGTAGGTTTACTGATCTTCAGACACTGCATAATTTTGTACAAAGCCACGAGGAGGGCCTGTATGTAGTTTCTTTGGTAGTGTAGGGGTGAAACATTGAACCACTTTACAATTCTTTACATTTGTTCTATTGGTTTCCTTATGATCATTGGAATTCCAATTTCTTTCTCTTGCCTAAAGGCCTTTCTAGTTCTTGTGATTTACTTCCTATTATTGCACTGTGCTTTTTCTTCCTACAGACTTTGTTATTCTCTTCCTTGCCATTATGGAAAATTACAAGCAATTACTGCAAGCATTTTTGTGATAATATCTCTAAATTTACCAATCTCAAATTTGTTCCTAAGAATAAGTAACATAAATGAGCATATACTAAAAAAGGAGTTCGGTGCACTAAGCTCCCGTTATGTGCGGAGTTCGTGGAAAGGTCTCCACAAGGATTTATTGTACGCAGTCTTACCTTACATTTCTGTAAGAGGTTGTTTTCACGGCTCGAACCCGTGACCTTCTTGTCACATGACAACCACTTTACCAGTTACGTCAAGGTTTCTCTTCATAAATGAGCATATAGTGTACATATTACCCTCTTTTCTACGCGGGATAGGAGTAAAGTCTTGATGAAATTACAGAGAAGTTTCTTAGAAGAATGATTAGACTATCAAAGTAGTAATTAATAGCTCTGCAACTGCTAAACAAAAGAGGGTAACTAAGTTTGTTTTGCAGGAGGTGAAATTAAGGGCCCGTTTGGACATAAAATTTGATGGAAGATTTTTTCAAAAAAAAAAATCACTTTTTTTTTAAAATCAGCGTTTGTTCATAAAATTTTCAATTTTCACTTGAAGATATATTTTGGAAATTTTCGAAAATTTTAAAAACTTCAAAAAACTGTTTTTCAAAATTTTCACTCAAATCACTCACAAAATTTCAAAAACAACCTAAACTAAAATTTATATCCAAACACAACTCTAAATTTTAAATACCATTTTCGCTTGAAAATATTTTTCACCATTTTTTCGAATTTTACAATTCTTATGTACAAACGCCTACTAACTCCACGCGTTTGTTGACTATAATGGAAAATAACTTCTGAGAAACTTACTATGAAAAGGAGTCTCAATTCTCACAGGAACTTCAGAAACTGGCTAGAAAATGGACGTGTTCACTAGGAGTCCAAAATGTTTTTTTTTGACTCAAAAGACACAACTAGGTAAAAAGAAATGTGTATCATTTTATATATAGCGCGGTTATTCACCGCGCTATGAACTCAAAAAGGGCGGGAGGTATAGCGCACATATAGGACGCGTTATAGTATAACACATCCTATATATGCACTATACCTATTTAAAAAAGCAGACCTCCATNCCCCCCTAATTTTTAAAGCAAAAAAAACTCATTGGAACCCACCCGTCCCACAAAAAAATGCATCTTCTCCGTATTGTAGCAAGCTAACACCGGATCTAAGTGGTTATCGCGTAGTGGATTGCTCGTTTCGGCCCTAAATCATCAAATCTTCACCTTTCAAAAAAATTTAAATCGAGTTATTCCGCCTTACTTTTTGGTAAAACTCATGTATAAAAAAGGCGTATTAGTTGTTTTTTACTGTGGTCTATATTTTTTCGTGATTATTTTGTGATTTAATTAATTTGTTATTTTTTATCCGGATTAGATTATTTATGTGCTTAAAAATTAGTAAAATAGATAAATTATTATTTTATAAATAATTAATGCTATTTGGATTTGATTGTTGTACGTATATTAATATGTGACTTTATTATTGCTTAGTGCCTTTTTGTGTTATGTTGTACCCGTAATTGTAATGTAGTGCCTTTTAGCATAGTAAAACTAATAATAAATTTTAGCTAATGGTAGTTGACTTTGTTCATGGCCATTTTGAGTAGTGTTACTTTAGTGAAAAAATGTTGGAAATAAAATATTAATATAGAAAATTTATCAACCTAATTATCTGTTATATGAATAATTACTAAATTATCTTTGTAGCTATTGAAATTAATTATTTAATTATCTGTTAACCCAAAAAATATCTGGAAAAAAAAAATGATAGTTAAAACACAAACTTTCTCGAATTTTAGTCAACAAATGTAAGAAAATAACATAAAAACAACAATATTTGTCAAACTAAGTATTTTTATATGAATACTTATTAATTATATCATGTATAGTTATAAAAATTAATTATTTAATTCTATTGTCCCCAAAAATAGCTGAGTAAGAAACAAACATATAAAATAATAAACTAACATATAAAATAACAAACAAACATGTAAAATAATAAACTAACATATAAAATAATAAACAAACATATACAATAATAAACTAACATATAAAATAATAAATTAACATATAAAATAATAATATAGAAAATGTATCAACCTAAGTAATAATATATTAAAAATATCGATTAAATATTAATATAAAAGATATTGCAATATGTTTTAAGATGTTAAGCAATCAAAAAGAAAAATACTTTAATTAATAATGTTTAATTTACGGACATCGTCATGGAGGTTCCCCCTGTGCATCCCGGACCTGCATCTCGAGAGCTACTGTTGCTACATGGCAACCATAGATCTTCATACAACTGGGATGGGCAGTGTCTCGCCCAGACATTCCGCCCCACACGTATAGACGATATGTGGGAGTTCATTAGGGGTCACCCACTCCATCCCCGTGTAGTTAGACGCCTTCAGGATACGAGTTTCTAAAGGATCATAGAGATCGGCCGGTTGCAGTTCAACTGGGTGTTGATCACGGCTAAGATAGAGCGATGGCAACCGGAGACACACACGTTTCACCTACTCATCGGCGAGGCTACCATCACGCTTGAGGACGTGGAGGTTATTTTTCGGGGTGCATATCGATGGATTACCTGTAGCTTACCCGCTTGCTCTTAGAGACTATATGGGAGTGCATTACCTGCATATGTTGCAGTAGCTCACCGATTTCGAGCCATCGGAGCTGACTGCATTGAGTCGGGCCAGTCGATTGCAGCTGATGCCCATCCGGCAGCATCTGGTGGCGTTGGATGCAGAGATTACGGATGATTCACCGCCGGAGGATATCGACCGGTACACGAGATTGTTGTTTCTGCTGATGTTTGGTGGTGTACTGTTCCCGAACACTTCGGGAAACCTAGTCAGCTTGAGATTTCTACATCATCTGGAGTGGCTAGATGATTTACCTGGTTACAGCTGAGATGGAGCTGTTCTAGGTTACCTGTATAGGCAGATGTGTCGGGCGTGCATGGGCACCTAGAGAGACGTTGCCGGATTTTTACCGTTGCTGCATGTGAGAATATAGTTAATTATTTTCATGATTATAACATACATAGTAAAAAACTACCTTAAATTTTACGTCCACAATCTATATTAGGTTTGGGTCTAGGAGCGGTTCCTGCAGTTCCAGCCACCTCTACCACTGATCGCTCCGGATGCACCACCTCCACCGTTTCTCTCTTTATCTTGGAGGTGGGTTGATAGGCGAGGCTACGGACACGAGGTCGAGGGTCGACATCATCTCCCCTATTATAGGGATTTGTTGGATTTTCTTGAAGGCACGCAGGTACATATATACTTTATGTTTACTTGGCCTGGCTTTATTTGTGTTGTGTTCACTCACGATTCTTGTGTTTAATAAATACTTCGTATGGAGGCCATACAACAACACGCTCATAGCTGGTTTGCCCGATTATTGCTCTCGCGGCCGAGCTATGTGAAGCTCTTCCGTCCCATTGATATGTCTCGATATAGTCGAGCATCATGCCACCGAGCGAGTCCTTCGCCAGTTTGGTTGACCGTAACTTGTACCTATTCCGCCCACTTGGGTTAGGATACATTACCAGCGGGATGATCATTGCAGGGTTGACGAGACATATTTGGCTTGGTTAGAGGGCCAGATTGAGATTTGAGACCATAGGTATGACCTAATTTTGCCACACCCTCCACCTGAGCGTACCGATGCCGAGCATAAGTATATGGGTTGGCATCGCAGCGTTACCCAACTTCTCATCGGGAATCCCCTTCATCGCATTGGTGGTCGGTACATTCCATACACCGGGAGGCATGAGGCACTGGTATGTTATTTGTTATACTTACTTATAATGTTACATTATCCTTCCGTAATTAATATTTTACATGTTATGCACGCTATTGGCTTACATCAGTTCTACCAGTTGGGACTGCAGATGTTGCAGCATATCGACGAGGGAGCGACATCTTTGCACGGGTTTGGCCGTCGGGTTACTTATCCTACTTCTAATACATTGAGACGTGCCCGAGATGATGAGCGCTTAGGATACGAGGCTACTTATGTACCACCAGAGGAGTACCATCATGGGCTACCAGTGGAACCTGAAAGTGGTAGACGTGGCAGACATGGCCAGAGAGGAAGGGGTGTCTCACGAGATCGTGGTGGTCGGCGAGGACGGGGTCCCCAACAAGGGGGCGTTGAGGCACCTGTGGAGAATATTAGAGATAATCAGCCAGGTGAGCGCCCTGAGCTACACGATGCTCATCATGATCTGCCATCATTCAGCCTTCAGTTGTCGTTAGGGACTTTGCAGGTGACCCCGCCAGCTCCATTATTGATCGCGGGATTCGCCATTATGCGACATGAATGGGATCAGTATTTTCCTGATCCCCTAGAGCCATCGACGGTTGTTGATGATCGTCCAACACGAGAGGTGCATAATGGGTGACGATTGAGTTATGGCTCATCACCGAGGGATGCTGAGGATCTTTCACATACTTCATTTACTCGAGTGCACCTCGATGTTCCGACAAAGCCTTGCGGCGCTACTCAGGCACAAGTTTGTTTGTATTACTATTATTTCTATTTGTTTTTATCTCATTGATTAGTCAGTAATATCTAAAATATTTTTATTTTTTCAAAGACACCGTCATCACCTGCAACGGAGGCCACATTGTACGATATTGACATGCCGGAGACGGATGATCTTATTAAGGAGCCCGCTGAGACCACGGTATGACCATTAATTTTTTTTATGCTAACACGTACGTTAGTAATTTATATTTCATATAGTAAAATATCTTATTATTCTGTAGGTTACTGTTGGCCCGACCGCCGCTTCTATCGAGTCTGCCAGCCTTACCGACAATCATGCTGCAGCGCATCTTCCGATAAAGAGGCAACATGATGAAGATGATCCTGATAGCGTAGCCGGGCGGGATGGGA